TCTACTCATGGTTGAAGGTGTGTCTATTCTTAAGAATCATTGTCTCAAAATCAGCCTAGATAATCTATATAAAACAATAGTTTCAAACTGAATGTCTTGCATCTGTTTTTATATACTCTATAGGAATATAGATGATTCAGGCTCTGAAAGAAGGAGAAGAATGAGCAGTGAGTATAGTGACAATTTGTTCTATCGTTCAAAAAGTTCATTTTTCTTCTTATAGATTCAGCTTCTTAAATACCTGTACGTTCAATAAAATAAAATGTTTATTGTTAACACTTGGAAAGCTTGAGAAGCAAGAAATTTTTCATTCTTTTTATTTAAACTAACACAGGTTAGAAAACAATGCAGTTTCACTGTAACAATTTAAAGATTAATTTTGATCTTCCTGTATTTGCAGTTTTCTGTGTTGGACTTTGTGATTTAGAATTCAAAAACAATCAGACAGTGCCCACATCCAGGAAATTTCCCAAGATCTAGATGGCTGCTTGCTCCTCCTTTTATTTCTCCCCCCCCAAAAAAAAGGCAATTGCATTGACACATGGAACACTGGGGAACTTTTTTTTATAGAATGACAGGGTTGCTCCTAAAATGAAACCTAGGAAAAAAATTAGCTAGCAAAAATAAGCAAGCTTCGTCTCATTAAAAATAAAGCTTAAATGTTTTTTTTAATGTTGAATAGAATGGTTTTAGTTTGCAAAGTTGTAAGGTTCTATTGTTTTTTTGATAGAGATTAAAATGCAATGAATAAATGTAAACTGTTATTTTTAACCCTAACTTTATGAAATAATTAGTTTTATTCATTAAGGGGAGGGAGGTTCATAAATTCATATTGTGCCTTATCAGTGATATATAAATTTAATAAGTACAATGTTATCATTTTAGGAATTGCAATTTATTATTTTCTATTGTTGCCTAATATAACAATTATAATATGTTGTAACCAGATTTTGGGGGAAGGAAGCAATGGAAAGGCTGTCACCTTTATTAAAGTTTCCAGTTTAGAAAAAAACTGAAGATATTTGGCAACATCTTGTATTGTTCTAGTACAGGTTCAGCATAAAATGTACTATGGTGAACAATGGCTATTCAGTTTTATCTTTTTGTTTCTTTTTTACTTTCAGATCTTTGAAATCTGTTTTTCTTATTCTAGCAGTGATAAGGAACTAGATTTTTGTGTAGCAGATCTCTAGTGAAACACTTATTTTTTGTATCTGCAATTCATTTTCTTTTTGATTGCAGCTGTTAACCCAAGATATGTGCTTAGAAATTGGATGGCAGAATCAGCTGTCCAGAAGGCGGAAATAAATGATTTTTCAGAGGTACAACATATTTACAAGCTGCCTTAATATAATCTTTATACACAAAAGACTAAAGTTGTTTTCTCTTTAACCGACCAAGGTATTGTTTAAGCATTTTCAAATCTGCTGCACCTGTTTTTCCCTTTTGTTTTTCAGGTTCGCTTCTTGCAACAAGTTTTGCAATATCCATTTCAGGTACAGGCATTGGCTGAAAGAGCTGGTTATGCACAGCGACCCCCTGCTTGGGCTAAGGGTGTTAAAATCAGTTGTTCATCTTGATGAAAATAATTTCTAATTAAATTAAAAGGTGTCATTTCCCTGTAATATATTGTATTATTGTTGAATTTCTTTTTTCCATTGCTCGATTTCTACAACACGCTAGGCTAGATTAAAATGGAATTCAGTGTTCGTGGATATCCTGGTGCAATTTTTATTTTTGGCAAACTGATTCTTCGCCCTCCTGTGAGAAGTTAAATTATATCTTATTTCTATGCCTTTTCAAAAAAACGCACAGGACAAAATTAAAACAGAGTTTGTTTGTGCTTCTGTCTTTCCCTCAATCCCCACTCCAAAGTCTATACAGATGTGAAGCTGTGTGACCATAACAGCACCAAAGTCTGCAGACTTTTCAGTTACAAAATCCTAAATATTAAACCAACACTGGTCAGGTCCCAACATCCCCAAAAAGAGGATGCACAGGCAGCACATTATATAGTCATAGTAGTCATTTTTACTGTGTTTTTCCATTTCCATTTCTCCTGTTTTGTTTAATCTTCCTATAACTTTGGCTGTTTCCAATACTTCTTGAACTACACTGTATTATACTTCTGTCAGAAACACGAAGTTTCCATGGTGAAAGAATCAACTGGTGACATTACCTTTGCCTGGAGGATACCCAGTTGGGAGCTCCTTTCATGTCCCCATTAAGTTGCCCACCAAAGTGGTACCCATCCATCTACTCGTGATTACCTGCTTTAGAACTGTGGATTGGCAGGACTGGAGCGAGTGATGGGAACTCACCTTACCATGCAGGAGCAACCAGGTCTTGAATGCCCTAACCTTATGAGCCACCACACTCCACATTTCTTTCTACAATTACGTTAGTTTATGTAATTATAAATATATACTTATATTTATATTGTACTACTATATTTCAAGCTATCTAGACAGAGGCCCCCAACCTATGGGCTGCGGCCTGGTACTGGGTTGCGGGCTCTTGGCCAGTGGGCCACAGAAATGGCTGGCCAGGGCGCGCATGCGTGGGCGTGCATTCCCACTCGCACTAGAGCCCACGGCCATTTGTGCAGGCACAAATAGGAATGCTAGTGCGGTGGGCACGCATCCCATTTGTGTATGTGTGAACAGGCACTAGCCGCCACGGGGTGCACATGCCGCCAGCGCAAACCCGGCCGCTAGTACTGTGCCAGTGGGCATGGCCCCGTTTGCGTGCGTGCACACACGTCCGCACGCAGTAATTTGGAAGCTGTTCTTCCCTCCGGGGAAAGGTTGGAGAACTCTGATCTAGAGTCAGAGTGTGATGAGTGGTATATAAATAATAAATAACCAAAACTACTATGACCAGAAGCCCAAAGGAACCCAGGACCTTCCTTCCTGTTTATCTTTTTTAGCCATTGACATAGATTTTTCATGCAGAGTATGATGACATTGCACGATTAATGCAACTTGCAAAATTCACATCATTTGTGCATGGTGAACGTAATGTAGTTGCTCCCCCTGCTTGCATGATAAATCAAAGGCCATTGAGTCATTTTTGTTCTGTGTTTGGAATACAGTCATCAATGTTTCACAGGCCAGCTTGTAATTAGATCTCAAATGTTGCAGCTAGGAGAATCTGCAGTTTGGAGTTTACTAAACTTTTAGATATGTTAATTGAAAATTAAAAATTTATCGTGAACATATTTGTATTGTAAACAGAATCTCTTGCTGGTCAGCAAGTTCACTAGGAGGTTTTTCTCAGTTATTCTAAAGAATCTGTGAAGTCCCCAAGACTCTATTTCTGGGTCTCAGGTTCAGTCCCAGAATTATGAACTATGAAAGGGTTAAATATAAAATTCTCCAAAATGCAAAGAAATGAGAATTGGGATTGCCTGATTTTAAATTATATTTTGTGGTCTGCTATTTGATTTGGATGAAAGAATGGTTGTTGCTAAGAAATAAGCAAAAGTTAGAATTGGAAGAACACAAAATAAATTGTGGCATTTTTTTTTATGCACAGTAAAGTTGAGGTAGATTTCAAAACTCATTAAGTTGGGAGTGCCATATTAAGAATATAAAACAAATATAAACTAAGGCTTTGCCTGAAAATACTTTACTGGTTTAAGCATTTTATAGAAAAGAACCTGTAAAAAAAAAAGATTAACATATTAAGACTTGCAAGTACAGGAAACTAGAGAACCTTAAATGAAATCAAAAGAACAATTGACTGCTGAGGGATTTATTTTTCAAAAGGAATATAATTGCACTGGGAGAAGAAAATAGCTTGCATTTCTTCTCCTCCTCTCCTGCAGAGCAGAGAGATTTATGGAGATATCAAGATAGTACATAATGTAAGCTATTTGTATTGCACGCCAATGGTTCCCAGGCCCAGGCTGCCATCACAATAAGACTGAATAAGACTTTTTTACAATAAGTAGAAAAGCAAACAGCATATTCTCTTGCAAGCCCTTCCTCTTCAATCTCTCTACTCTGCAAGGGGGGGGGGGGAGAAAACCCCCATAGATCAGGCACAAGGCATATACTGACTATAATGGTGATCAAGTGACTAAGGGATGTTGAAAGGTTACAAATAGTTGTAAATTTGCTGTAAATTTTAATTTTTAGCACCATCATAACTGACTTAATTGCTGTATCTGTAAAAGTTGTTAATGTTATAGAAGCCATAGCACAAAACAGACCATGGCTTAATAAGGTATATGAATCCAGCCATTAATTTCCAAAGTGTATGCTTTTAATTAAATTAAACACTGGATTGAAGAAATAAGTTTTATTCATGAAGATTGCAGTAAATAAAGAATAAAAATGAAATATACATGATAAAATATAAGTAAGAAGAAATAAATTACTTTCTTTGAGACAAACCTGGTCTTAGTACAACCACTAAATTAGTAGTTGAGAATGGAAAAATTAAAGCTATCTTTAAAAGAATGTTCCTGCATTATACCAAATAAATAACCAAAGATTGTCTGCAAATATTAATCACTGGAAAAAAATTCACTTTGAAATAAACTGAGGAAACAGATAGTATATTGCATAACATGATGAAAGTTTCAAGTTGCATTTTTCCCATATCCAACTATGGCAAACAAAAAAGTAGAAGGGGCAGATATGGGGTAGATTTTGACCCCATAATGAAAGAGGAAATTTACAAACTGTGAAGTGAATTTGTTATTCAGTGTTACAACTCTTATTTCTGCAAAGTATTCTAGCCTATGCTTAGATGAGCCAAACTGCCAAGGCCTTATCCAGGTTATTCTTACATGCAAGTGATAAGGAATGAAATCTGAAAAAAAAAGCTCTTCGTCAAGTTAATCAGGTTTTAAATTATTCCTGATTTTCTTTAAAAAACAAAACAAAACACAACTTCTGGATCAAATCAATTTTTCTGAACCCTGCTTTTCTCCAGGACGTCTCCTTTGCTTGATTGTGTTTTTCAGCCTTCAAGCAAGAGCATAGGAATTGAACCAGTAGCTCAACCAAGCCTTTGGTCTGTGTCTGCATAATTTTTTCTAGCATATACTCCTTTAGATCACCTGATGTTTAAACCTACTTAGTTCATGATGACTCACTCCTTTTCTTTTGCAATGCTCTCATTAGATCAGACATGAAATCTCCTTGCTCAGCAGCATGTCCCCTTGAAATTGATCCACTTTGTTTTGGTCTTACAACCTGACAAGCACCTTCTTCTTGTCTTCTAGGAGGTGGTGGTGGTTTCTTCTTGGTTGCAGGAGGAAGACCAGGGACAGAGAGGAAGGGCAGTGGCGGAGGTGGCAGTAGTTCCGCAGAGCCCATGCCAGTAGCAAGAAAAGGTGGGGGAGGGGGAGTGAAATCAGGAGGAGATTCATAGTATTCAGGTAGTGGCGGAGACGGTGGTGGCGGTGGTGGTGGCGGTGGCAGATCTTCCAAATTTGGAGGAAGGGGTATAAATTCAGGGGGTGGTGGAAACTCTTCATAATTTGGTAAGAAAGTTGGATTTTTCCTCTCAGCAATGGTGGGTAGGTCCAATGAAACAGCAGTAGTAGAAGACCGTCTTTGAGGAGGGGGAGGAGGGTGCAAACCACCAGGTTTGCGGATCTGTTTCACCTGTTGTACAGGTAGGGATGATGCTTGACTAACATTGAAGGTATCATCTGGTTTTTTAACCTTAAAAATTATTTTAAAATGATTAGCATATGACTAAGAAATTACAAGAAATTATACTTCCTGATTATGGAAGAAGAGTATTCAGTCAAGAGTTTCCCAATGGTATATAGCCTATTATTCAAGAAGCAATCATTTAAAGCAATGTTTTTCAACTTCAACAAATTTAATATGTGTGGACTTCAACTTCCAAATTCTCTAGTCCAGTGGTTCCCAACCTTTTCTATACCCCGCACCCCTAGAACGCCTCTGATATATTCTCGCACCCCTTACAAAAGTTCGAAATAACGGCAACAAATTATGTATATACACTATAATTTTATATATGAATATATAAATTGATACTGAACTGAAATCTAGCTTGCTTTAAAAACTATTTGAATTTGCAATTAAAACTGCTAAATGCACACATACACAACACACACAGACACATATTGATAGGTAGGAAATTACACAAAATGCACACCTCATGAAAATAACGTGCAGACATATCCTTTTAGGAGGAATTGTGAAAAATGTTAGCAGAAGTATACATGCAATCATTCTGGTATAAATTTTAAAAAAAATCAAACTAGCTATGGGACCAAAATTATAAAAGAAAAAAAGAAGCATAAGGAGAGGTTTAGCTATGCCTAATGTTCACTTGCATTTGGTATCTCTAATACCCACAGTATTGCAATTACTAAATTTTTATGCTACCCCTCCCCTCTTGTGAAATGTTAATTCACAAAGAGACTTAATGGAAGAGGTTGGAAACAAAATGTAACATTCTTTCTAAAGAATTAATGTTAAAAACTTTTTTTAATGACGTTAAAATATTAGATGCATTTTAAGGTTTTTTTTATAGGTATAGAATAGTCAGTAAGTGGCAGTTAAATATTTACACCCTGAACTTGACAGTAGATGGAGTGGGTGCCTTTATCCACTCCAAGGGAAGCTGTGGACAAGAAGGAACAAAACTGTCTGAAATTTAACCCAAGCAAGGTACAGATAGTCCTTGACTTACAACCAATTGCTTAATGACTGTTTGAAGTTAAAAGAAGCCTCCAAAAGCTGCTTACAACATGTTTTCAAAGTTCCAACAGCCACACTCATCCCTGTAGTTGTGTGATTGTCTTTTGAGTGCTTCACAAATGGCTGTTTGCAACATTCCAGTCATATGACCACAATTTGCAATGTTTTTGGCCAGTTTCCAGCAACTATTTCCCGTTTCTGGCAGAGAACAGGACTTTTTCTTCAGCAAAAGTGTAGGATGAGGGTGAAGGTTTGTTCTCATCCTACAACTGAGCTACAGATAATTGCCACCATTGCAAAGATTATTAGTTTTGAGAGACCCTTTCTTCAAAAAGATAGGAAGAACTGCAGTTCTTACATACTTACATTATGTATCTTTGGCATAGCACCAGATTTTCCAATTTCTGCAGTGTTTGCTGTATTAAGGGTTACGTTTTGGGGGATTTGTCCATTGGCATGAGTGCTACCTATAATAATAATAATAGAATAAAGAAGAGGGTTGCCTGTGCTACTAAAAACAATTAGATTTAAACAAAAATAATCTTATCATCAGTAAGAATTGAGATTGGCAAGGCAGGAACTAGCAAACCCAGGGAGAATCATGCTGTAAACATACTTCAAATACCTTTTTAGGCCATCAAGTATCTGTTAACCTGGATGGAACTGAGAAAAAGGCCTAGCATTTAAACTCAGGAGCATTGCTGTACAGATTAGATTTTTTGCATTATTTTGGACAATCAACTCTGGTATGTAAGACTTTATTCTTGTAGGCAGTAAAGTTTCTAAACAGCTAAGCTAAGACTTCTGCGCAGCCAGTCCCGCTAACTGATGTCTAAGAGCTGTGATTTATTATTGAGCCCTGCTGTGAAGAGAATATGCTACTTTTTCTATCTCATTAAAATAGCTTATAAATTGGTGATGGCAGATGAATAGTGTTCATAATGTCCAAAAGGAACATGAATACCATGTCACCCTTAGGAGCAAACTGAACAAAATGAAAACAGATGTACTACCGTGTGTACAATCTTTAAGAGCTTAGTAAACTAGGAGAATGATCTGTTATTCACCTGTTTAGTCAAGGATATTTGGAAACTGAATCTTTGAGGAAAATGGTTCTTGTGCTGGAATAGCTACTCAGTGTAATAAATGAGAGAGCAAAATATAGTTGAGCTTTACAAGAAATACGATGCAGAAAGTTTTTACTGATGCTGAATGAAGGCAGTTTCACACTGTTTGCTGTGCTGTTTTTGGCTCTTCCTGAAAACTATTTAGCAATTCTACTCTGGATTGTGGTGTTCTGGCAACAGGCCTCGGCTAATGAAACATAGAAATATAGAAAACTGACAGCAAAAAAAGACCCAGTGGGTCCATCAAGTCCAGCATGGCTACCATAGCACTTGATTGCTTGACCCTCTTCCCATGCAGGGAATCTTATTAATTGCCAACACAATTCCTTCCTTGCCAGCCCTTTAACATGGGTTTTTCCCCTTTTCCCTCCTAATTGTAGCATCGCTGCTCTGAGTGCTACAGTGATCAAAAAGAACAGGTTCCTTCATTCCTAAATTCCGCTGCAAGTCCATAGAAATTCTGTAGCAATGAAGAATCAGATTCATAGAACAAAAGAAGTAGAAGTCCTTCAAATTTGATAGCTATGTTCTGTGCCTATAGTTTTTAAAAAGGGAAAGGAAACCAATTCAGGAGAGAAGGCATGAGGTAGGAAATAAAGCAGAGCATGCTTCCTCTAGACTAGGGGTGTCAAAGTCGCAACGTCACGTGTCACGACTTTTTCTCCATTGCTGGCAATGGGGTGGGCACGGTTTCGGCATGACGCCTCTGGCCCGCAGGCTGGCAGTTTGATACCCCTGCTCTAGACTGTGAAAAAACTAATGGTGGCCACTGAGAAATGTAAAGGTACAACAGGTGGCGTAAGAGGTAAGGAAAATGGCAGGAGAGCTAGTCTTTATGGTCACTGTTCTTCCAATCTGACCAGTTGCGGGTATAACAGCCTAGGATGAAATAGCCTTAGAGGGCAGTGACCTGTCACTGAAAGGGATGAGGGTACCAAGCATTATAGCTAATCAAAGCTGAGGATGTCCTAGATTGGAATAAAGCCTGGTAGATCGGGTGTGTCAAATTGCCGGCCCATGGGCCGGATGCGTCAGGCCAAAACTGTGCCCACCCCATTGCCGGCAATGGGGGAAATGTCGCGACATGTTACGTGACGTTGCAAGTTTGACACCCCTGTGGTAGATGAACTGCTCAGAAGGACTTAAAATGGTTCAAGACAAAAAACAGCAGAGCTTCCAAACATGACTGCAGGGATGCAAAAGCAGAGGGTAGGAGAAGGTGGAGGATGATACCAACCACTCTGGTAGTCAGGAAACAGTGAGTGGCCTGCTCTGGCAATGGGTCAGGAAGATAGTGCAAATCTGGCCTGAATTGTGGTTGGGATTGAACAAGAACACCACCTTAGCAAGCTAATTAAGATCATGTTATGAGGACAAATAAAGGCCATTCTCTATTAACTCTAAATAGATCATTTACAAAGAAACCAAGAAACAAATTAGTGGGTATATCAGGATATTTTAGGATGGAGAAGCAAACAGTCAGAATTTTAGAAGACTATATCTGTATATGCAAAATGTAAAGTTTGACCATGAGGCAAAAGCTTACATTGAACCATATGTATAAGTCCTGCAATAATCCCTGTGCTATTATCTGCTCCTGCAGGAGAGATGCAGTGATTATTACCAAATGAACTTTTCTCTTTACCATTTTGGCCTCCTCTAAACTTTGGCTGCAGAATTGTTATTCACATCAGTGCTCATTAATAAAATGAACCTCTGTTCACTTGGAGAAATTTCTCAGGTTTACATCAAGTAGATACAAATGACTTTATTTCCCTGCTGCAGATTGTAATGTGTTCAGTTACTAAAAATTCACATCCTAAAATGAACTATTATTGAACATGTTAGAAAATGATAGCAATTGGCAAATGGTAGGGAAAAAAGCTAAGCCTATAATCCTCACAATAACTTTTTTTTAAAATAAATAATTTGGATACCTTTTGAAGATGATCCCCCAGAAGCTATGGATTTAGTATTTCCTGGCTTTGCCAGACGTGAAGCTAACTCAGCCTTTTGTACCGCACCAATGTAGTTATCATACAAGGCCTTTCCATACTGAAAAATAAGCACCACAAATATCTGACAGATTTTCCATCATAAAAAAATGAACATGCATTTCTCTGCTTGTTCCATCAATTCTTAACAGAAATTCTTCTTCAGTGCTTGATTTGAAATCTCTTCCATAAAAACTATGAACTGGTAAACAGGACTGTAAACCAATAGGTTGAAAGTCTATTATTTGTTTGACAAAATAATTTATTTTCCCAATACAAATTCTGTTCTACGTACTCTACAGTTATTGTTTGTTTATATGTTTATTCACTCGAATTTTTACTCATAAGGGGATAATGCCCTTTTTGGTTTTCATCATTCCATTTACTTTCTCTTTTACTATGGAGAAATATCATTTTTCTTCTTACCTTTGCAATTCTGATACCAGTTACCCAATGATGTAAAGACTGCTTGTCGTCACAGCACAGGTATTTGATGTACTGTGACTCCTTCTGTATTTGAGGATGCTATAAATAATGACAGCAACAGTATTTTTTTAATCATTAAAAATTTGCTGAAATAACCCAAGTAGACAAGCCAACTTCCCACACAAGGCTCCTTGTCTATCACTACATCTTGGCTACTTTAAACCGCAAACAACTGAGAAACCAAAGAAGAAAGCAATATTTTTCATCAGCCCTTCCAAAAGATTACTGGTACCCAAGTTTACATGATTGTAATTGGTATTTAAAAATCTGTAGTCAAACTTGGTGTTTTAGAAAATTTTTCTCTTTCCATTTCTTCTTTTTTCTTATAGCTATTTTAGACTGCAAGCTTGAAAGCAAGGGCTATCTTTATTTTTATCTGATTACAAAGGAGTTAAATAATGCTTTAAAATAATGAAATGTTAAATTAACATGAAACTAATTGGATATGCATCTGTAAATAAATAACACAAAGCCATATTTCAGAACATCACAGATTATAAATATCTGTGCTCTATTCAAAGGAAATTTGACTTGGAACAGCTTATAATATGAATTAGCTAAAAGTAATTTGAAGCACATCAGACTTCTGAAGTTAAACTCAATATATGAACAGTTCTTAATTGTCAAATTGTTCTTAAGTGATTAAAACAGGAAGACAAATTTACTATCTGCATTTTCCAAAAGCAAACAATTTCCCTTCCTTTTCTGCTGATTTTTTTCCCTCATTTTACCTTTCCATTTCCTTAGGATCTGAGGACATTGCCTATTCATATTTATTCAACACCATGGGTAGGATGCTAGCTTTCATCAATCAAACTCCCAGGACTAAATTACATGCCAAATTAATTCTATGTGATTACTGACATGTTATCAACAATAATAATAGTTTTGCAGTAACATGATAAATCCAGTAGATGGCATCAGATACTTTCCCATTTTTAAATGTTTACTTTTGCTGTTTTTAATCTATATTGCTATAAAAAAAGTTTTATTGCATCTTAAAGGCTATCATATTTATTAGACATAAACTTTTATGGAGTAGAATCAATTCATCATGAAATGAACAGGTATATATATATATATATATATGTATGTATGTATGTATGTATGTATGTATGTATGTATGTATGTATGTATGTATACAGAAAGATGCAAGCAGAAGATTACACATTTTCTTATAATGCTTATTTTGTATATTTTGTATATTTCATTTGTATATTTTATTTTCTGAATAATATTAATTCTAGATTTTCTCAATAATTTCATCAAGAATCTTTTTTTTAAAAAAAAAATTAAAGATAAACTATTCTTTTCTATCACTTAAACAAATCTCCTCAAGAATTTTTTTTTCTCTCAGATAAAAAGGTTGAGAGGCAAGGGCTGACATGATTTTGTTAAATAAACTTGTGGGCAATATTTGATTCTCACATACCACAATTCAATATACCTTTAATTAAAATACTCTTAATTTGTTAGATGATAGGAAGAGGGAGCTATTTCAGAAATTCAAAATGCAACTTTATATAAATTATTATCTTAATCATAATTTGTCATAAGTTGGAGTGGCAGGTACACTGATCTGAATCTTGAGTAGCTAGAATACTGAGCAAAGACCATCTCAGAGGTATTTGTAAAGTAATATCTTTTTGGTTATAGTGCCAAACTTACCATATTTCTCAAAACTCTCAAGATAGGGAATAAACCCTGGGGGCTCGTTTTAAGTTTTTTTTTTGCCTGACTGCAGCAGAAAGACAAAAAAAAAAATTGAGGCTGCTTTATAATTTTATGTGAAACTTGGGTGGGAGGAGGGATGTGGTGGTTTCTCTGTGATTAACTTCAATGACCTCACCACTGGGAGTAAAAGGGGGGGAAAACCAAGTGCCAGGAAGTGACTTTCTCCTGGCCACCTTAACAGAATAATGGAATACCAAACTTGGAATGGATCTTGGAGGTCTTTTAGTCCAATACCCTGTCCAAGCAGGAGACTCAGTACCATTTCAAACAAATAGCTGTCCAACTATTGTCTACTTAAAAATCTCCAATGATGGAGCACAATTTCTGGAAGCAAGCCATTTCACTGATTAATTATTCTCATTGTCAGGAAATTTCTCCATAGTTCTAAGTAGCTTCTCTCCTTGATTAGTTTCCAACCATTGTTTCTTGTCTTGCCTTCTGGTGCTTTGGAGAATAGGTTGACCCCTCTTCCTTATAGCGGTTCCTCAAATAGTGGAACACTGCTATCATGTCACCTCTAGTCCTTCTTTTCACTAGGCTAGACATATCCATTTCCTGTAGCCACTCTTCATATGTTTTAGCCTCCAGTCCCCTAATCATCTTTGTTACTCTTCTCTGCACTCTTTCTAGAGCAGGGGTGTCAAATTACTGGCCTGTGGGCCAGACGCATCACCAGGAAACCATGCCCATCCTATTGCTGGCAATGGGAAAAAAGCTCCGATACATCGCGCAACGTCATGTGACGTCGCGAGTTTGACATGTCTGTTCTAGAGTATCATCTTTTTTATATTGTGGTAATCAAAATTGGATGCAATATTCCAAGTATAGTCTTACCAAGAAAACTTTTAAAGAAAAACACATGCACTGCATTTAACCAGAATATTCATATAGCCTGCCCTCAAGAGATGGGAGTTACAACATGAGAATGGGTCATCTGTACAATCCAAACACCACTACTACACTTCCACATAATAGACCTCTTCTTGCTTAAAGACACCATGATCACTAAATATGTCAGATCCTTTTCCTTATCACACTACTTCAGAAAGACCAGAAAGTGGCTGGAAGTACCTTTTAAAGCTTATTAAATGCCTTTTCATATTTCTCAAATGAATGAATTAAAAAGGCATTTTAATAAAATCTATTTGTCTGAAGAGTGCTACCAGACTGATTTTTAACCACCATAGTCTAACATGGCTTTCCTCTTATTATGCTGTTTTCAAGGAGTAAGACGTGGGAGGCACCAAAACAAATCCCAGATTCAGATGAATGATCTTTTCCATTTTATTTCAGGGAAAGCCGCAAATGCTATTAGTAAACAAGCAATGTTGCTAGCCACACTGTTGTTAAAGAATACAACAACCCAATTTGAGAGAGAGCAATGTTTGAAAGAATTAGGAAAATGAACTGCATGAGCTCCGAAGGAAAGTACTAAGCAATGGAAATGGGATAAGAGGAAGCTATTGTGCCAGTTTGCTCCCAGGGTACCAGTTCTTTCACCCTAGATTAATTCCACATTATGCACCATTACTCTCAGGTTACTCAAGCAAAACCTGTGCCAATAAAGCATAATTAAATTCTCCTGGTATCCAAGACATAACAGACTGACTAAATGAGCCAATTTACATATAGATTACCTTACTAGCACCAGCTGTGAAGTTTTTTGTTTTTTGTTTAAAAACAAAAATCAGGAGCTAAGACTTTATGTTGGTGGCTTTTTAAATTTTCTAAAGAAATGCTACATAATGTAGTGCCCAGAATCTGAATCTGAACTACCAGGAAATGTTGCTGACAAAATTTTATCTTCTCAGTTTGAGCGATCTTTACTGATTTAAGCCAGGATTACAAATTCTTTGGTTGTTCATTAACACCAACAAAATAATGGCGGCTGAAAGCATTTTTGTGTATTTCAACAAAATGTATAGTTTTTAATTTATTTCCCCAGGGTTGACCCTCTTAAATAGCTGGCAGGATTGAGCATTCCATCAGGCTGACCCCTGTCATTTGGCTACCCACAATGTGGAAAATATGGCTTTCCTTACTGAAAGCATTTGTAACACCTTTCTGAAAACTCCCAAGATAGGGAATGAAGCAAACCATAATCCTAGCAAAACATGAATAAAATTTCTGAAAACTAATAGGAAAATTACTTAAACCACTTTGAAGATTAAATGAAAAAGATGTCTTTTGATCCCCTTTTTGAAAGCAGAGAATAGGGAATAATTGCAGCCTCATAGGGATCATATCCTAGGAATCGTTGACAAAGGAGATCTTTTCCCGTGCATGTGTGCCAAGCAGCCCCTAAAAGGGCAAAATGCTTAAAAGATTCTCTCGTAAAACTGGGAAGTTTATGATAAGACCACAGACAAGTAGACTGTAGATTAAATAGCCAACTAGATTAAAGATTAAAACTAAGAATTTGAAACCATGGTAGAAAAAAAGGATACTTATGAGCATAAATGGTGTTCAGTGTTTATCCAGCTCAAAAACTTTTAAGATGTACAGACTTCAATTTCCAGAATTCTCCAATCACCATGAGATTGAGAAATACTGTCCTAGATTATTCAGTTTCAGAAAACCTTTTTGTATTGCATACATCAGACACATTCATGTATTCCCTTCCGTAAAATCAAATTTAGATACTGAGGGCTTACATTTCTTACAGGCTACCTAAACAGCATGTAACTATTATGATCAGTAACTACTAATGCTCTTTACTTCCATGCATGAGTTATTTCTGACACTATCAAAGTTATTAGTTATTAAGCACATCTTAGGGAAGCAACTGCTGTTGTGTAATTAAGCATGTAAGATGTAGCTCCCTTTGCTTATCACTGTTACCCAAAATTATTTCATAGTATTTGGCTGAAATATGGTGAGCAAAAGAGAGGGGGAAATTCTTCCCTTTTCTCCATACATACAAAGTTTTATAACTCCTACCATATTACCTCTCACTCACTTCTTTCCCCATAAATTTAAAAGTCTAAAATGTCCAGTATCAACCTTTTCTTCAAAGGGTTATCCTTTCCATGCAGTCACAGAACTGGAAGGGACCATTTACTACTCTTTTCAGCCCAAAGCCTCGATGAGTGCAGGAATCCAAATTAAAATATTCCCTCTAAATGGCCAGGTAATTTGTGTGTGAATACACTCAGTGAAGAGGAACCCACCACTTCTTGAATAATTGGTTCTGCTGCCATTTTCATTCCTTTCCTAATGAACCCTGACATGGAATCTACTTTTTCACAGCTGCCACACACATGGATAACACTTCCACTGAACTGTCCATCTGAACCCCAACTAGATTGTTTGCTCCATCATGCTTGAACTGTAGGCCAAAATATGGTTCATTCAATTTGGAAAATGAATTACTTTTTGTCTTTCACTAGCATGCATAATTTAGTATCACCTACAAACCTGACAATGTCACTACCAATAGATGATTTATGAACAAGCTAGCAGTGGTCCTAACACAAACCCATGTCATACAATTATAATAATCTCCTTATCAAATCCTTATGTGGCTACCAAAAAGTAATTTTTATTCTGAAAAATTAGACATTCTTGCTGTAAGATGCAATCTTATATACCCATTTAGTTGAAAATGAGCCTTATCAGGAATGTCTGTACATATAGTCATAACAGTCAAAAGATGGACACAATGGTATGATTGACACTCTGCTTTTTATTAATGTGTGTTACACATAAAAATGGCCAGAGTTTCGATTGCACTATTGTGGCTGCTAACTTTTTTTACTATTCCCTCCAGATACTCCTATACCTTATTAAACTCAGCAAGGATTATTTTTGAATAGACATTATAGGAATGCATGATCAGCATATGTAACTTAGTACACAATACACTATACAATACCTTAAGAGTGCATGTTCTGTAATACATACCTTTAAGACAAAACAATAATCAGTAGGGGACTTATACTTCATTTTGTACTGAATACCATAATAAACATTTACGTTCTCAAACTGTATGAAACAAGCCAAGTCACGGGATGTCTAAAAATTAAAAACACAATCTTTAGTTATTAGAATAATTAACTTTATTCATGTTAATGCCTTGGATAATCTTTTGATGTACTTATTGATCTGAGAATTAATGACAGTGGAACCTTTGTAACACATTGCAAGTTTAGGAGTGATGGCGAAGATATGTAGCATTTTTCTTCTGAGGACTTGAAGCAAATAAACCCACAAAAACATTACCATTCTGTTCAAGAAAGGTGCACAGAATTCATAGGGAAGAGGGGGAGGAGACTTTTCAATAATGCATACTGAATTTATTTGTACGTAGGTGAAAACTTCATCTGTCATTCTGTGCCAATTTGCACTCCTGCCAAACAGAGTTTCTACTATCATACAATGCACATTGGCTGTTCTTAATGGGTTGCCATGGCAACAAAGTTTCCCAGTGAAGGATCTGTGGATGAAGAACCAATCTGAATGAAATAGAACAGGGCCTAAATTCTTCCTGGCTCATGTACATATACAGATAGTCCTCAACTTATGACCACAATTGAGCCCCACAAGGGAGACATTTGTTAAGTCAGTTTTGCTCCATTTTACAACCTTTCTTGCCATGTTGTTAAGCCAATCACTGCAATTGTTCAGTTAGTCACACGGTTGTTAAGTGAATCTGGCTTCCCCATTGACTTTGCTTGTCAGAAGATCACAAAAGAGGATCATGTAACCTTGGGACACAGCAACGGTCGTAAGTATGAAAACTGGTCATGTCATTTTTTCAATGCCGTAGTAACTTTGAACGATCACTAAGTGAACTATTGTAAGTTGAGGACTACCTGTAGTTGTTTTTTTACTAGTAGTAGCTTTTCAGAACTTAGTTCACAAGAATAGCTGACAAACAGATCTTGCCTATACAGATATCTTTTAAAAAAGAAACAGAGAATCCCTCTGACTAACCAGTTTCAAATTAAAAATTGTGGGGGGGTGTACCCCCAGGGCAAGCAGAAAACCCCCAAGGTATAGTCATAAGGAAAAAAAGAGTATGGTTGTGGCAGCCATTTTGATGTGTTTGATCCCGGACTGTGGACACCCCTGCCACTGTATGATTTAGACACATATGCATCTATGTAAGTGGATTTCAGAATGTTTTCTAGAATTCTCTAGAAAAGAGGAGCAAAACAGAAGAAGCTCCGGGGCCAATTCTCTCCTTGGCCTTGCCCAAACAATGGCAGCTTTCTTGTCTGCTGTTTGACATTTAAAGCTATTCCATTCTATTCTATTCTATTTCTTTAAAATTAAGCAAAAATGATTACATAATTCTGCAGTGGATGACCAATTGCAGTTCAGAGATGTTATTTCTTTTCATGACTGAAATGTTTATGAATGCAACTGATTATTATTGAAAAATAAAAGAGTAGTCTATAAAGGGAATAAGTATCAAAGGAATTCTGCCACCCATTCTCCATATTTGCCCAAACAGCAGCTCTCAGAGGAACCAGACACCGTTCCTCAAAGGTTACCTGGAGGCTTCCTTGCCTTCCCTTTTACAAATTGTTTTAATGCTTCAAAGCATTTCTTTGACATGCCTGACCTTGGTCTTTCCTTTGGGGACATAATAAATGCCTGAAGCTCGTAGAAGAAAATAGCGCCTCTTCCAGGACTTCTTTCCATCTTCCTTTAAATAAAGGGCACCTTCAACTTCTGGCACAATAACCGATGTGCCACAGAAGCTTTCCTGCAGAGGGAAAAAGTGGTGAGACAGAGCAGCAAGTGAATAAGCCGAGTGTCTTACAACATGGCTTGTTCAGTTTTGCTTCCAAAAGCCTGAGTTTCCATTCAGTCCATCAACTTTGATCTTCCCTTGACCACCATCAAAAACAGGGCAATGCTTGATCCCCTGAACACGTGAACAACTTCCTTGAACTCTTGGACAGGCATTGACCGGTGGCTGAATTTGAAATAAGAGCTTTTGGTGGCATGGTTTTAAAGTAACCTCCATAAGGCTTGCACTGGTTAGAGCAGCTTTACCAAATTTCCTTCAGGAATATTTGCCAAATTGTGCAGGATTGGGCTTCAGAGTTTGGTGACCACCTTGCCTCTGAAGATACTAGCCATAGTTGCTGGCAAAATATAAGGAAATCTGGCTGAGGAATTCTGGGATAAGTGATAAAAGGGCCAAGTTTGAAGACTCCTGGTCTAGATCACAGTCACTAAATACTGAAACTCAAAAGAGACAAGCTTATTTATTTGCCAATTACCCATATTTTTCCAGGAATATTTGCCAAACTTACACAGAGATACCAAGGACTGAATGCTGGTCCTTCTGAAAGGACCTGCAAGCTAGGGTCTTCTATGTTTTGAACCAACTCTCATCAGTTTTGATGTAATTTCTAGTATGACAAGTACAATCTGAAACAACTGGAGGGCTTCATTGTTCTATAAGAAAAACAAGGCTTCTATGGCTTACAGCAGAGCCCAGAAGTAGCTAGAGTCACCAGGCAGGCAAACATTTGGAATAAGAAAAAGGTTTCCTAAATAAAAGCACACACAGACCCAAGTATTAAAAACAAACAAGTGCGCCATGCATTTTGGAAATGCAGGCAGATGTACCTATCACCTGCCAGACTCAAGTTTGAAGATTTTGGGATTTTGAGAGCAGTCTCATATTTAAAACACTGGCAGAGCTTATAACAAGGCAATAAATGTTAAATTTAATAGATAGTTTTTAAACGAAGTTAGTAAATTTATTTATTTATTAAATGTATGTGCCTGTAGAATTAAACATTTCAATCTGTTAGCCTGTTTATTTATTTATTTATTTATTTATTAAATTTATATACCGCCCTATCTCCCTTGCGGGACTCAGGGCGGTGAACAGGCGATACTAAAAACCACGGTAATAAATAGTTTGTTTTAAAATCGAATTAAATAACGGGCCTGTTCTAAAAACACACCCGTAAAACCCCCCCCACTGAAACATAATCAAGGTACGCCAGGCCGGCCGCACGGAATAGATGGGCCTTCAGGGCTCGGCGAAAAAGGCACAGGTCCGCAACTGTACGTAGGTCAGGGGTTAGGTCATTCCAGAGGGCAGGAGCTGCCACAGAGAAGGCTCTCCCCCTGGGGGTCGCCAGCCGGCATTGTCTGGCCGACGGCACTCTAAGGAGGCCCTCTCTGTGGGAGCGGACTGGCCGAAGGGAGGTGTTTGGTAGGAGGCGGTCTTGCAAATACCTAGGTCCATTGCCATGGAGCGCTTTAAAAGTTGTTACTAAC